GACCTAATTTTGATTTAATACTTTTCATAGTAATATCAAATGCTTTTTGTGGTATGTATGCAAAAATTTGCGGATGTTCCATCAAAATACGGAGTATACCGTAGACGAGATATTCAGTATCGGTATTCATTAATTTGCTATAACGCTTTAATGTGTTTTCTGCATCTCTAAGAGCCTGTGCTGGAATACCTGGGAATGACGATGGTGATGGTAATCCAACGAGTAAATGAGCAAAATAGATGAAAATAAACAATACGATGTAGGATGATTTCATTCTAAAACAAATAGAACGCGTTAAGTTAGCCAACCATCTTTACCAATTTCAGATATTTTTACATTATCTGCAAATAAACTACGCTATATATTCGACTACAACTGTATATAAACATCATCTGTGATAAATGTAAATTCAAAACCATCTATTTAATTCTGTCTTTCATGTTATGTGCACGATTATATCATAATTCAGACAATCCTGTATTTCTGTCAAAAAAACTACTCATTTCAAATTCGACCTATTGTGATAAAAAAATCAAAAGTACAAACGCGCCACACACATACACACACATCTTGTGGAGAATTAGACAAAAGATTAACTAAAAAACCTGGAAAAAACGTGAATTGACAGTTTGCGCTGTTATAAAAATTTCGATTTGCTAAGTAATTGTTATGTTATAATCATTTATTCGTTTATCATTACCATGTGTCGTTGAATTATTTGGGGAATACTTCTTGATCCAAATGTACAATTTCATATCGTTGTCGGATAAATTCCGTCTTTGAGCTTTACCACTTCTATGATCCACATGTTACCAATTTTCATTTTGATGGATATTGTTTTTTTGTCTTAACAAATTTTGGTTGGTAAAGACGTCTTCTTATTAAAGTAAGTTTTTGTTGATTCAAGTGATGCATAACTTGTTATTTTTTTCTAATCAAGTTTATTAATAACATCAAAAAAGATATGATAATCGTATAAAACAGGCAAATCGAGTATATCATTTTATGCGTGGATCTATTCTACCTTACAAGAGAGAGCACACTTAGAGGGAGAAGTATTTTGATTAAAAAAAAGAAAGTCTATCCGTGTGATATTGACTAATCAATAAAAGGTGAATAGAACATCCAGTCGAGAATCTTTTAGAAGAACAAATGAAATCAAGAATGATAGTAAATACCCGAAAAAAATCATCTCTATTCAGCATTCTAATGGCTTTATCACGCAATAAAATCCTTTCCAGTGTAACTTGTTTTATTCGTCTCAGTTAAATTATCTTTTTTTATTGTACTGATCCGTGACAATAGGTTAACTAAATCCATATCAATCTCATAAAACTGGCTTAATTATTATTAAGTGGTCTAATTATTATGTTCACCTTTGAACATGCTTTAATTATGTGTCCTTTCGGAGTTATAAGATTTTAAACGCTAAAAAGTAAGTTTATATGAGGATTTTCAATATTTTAATTTGATGTATCTTCGTCTGTTTACATCAAAAATACCTTAAATTCTCTTAAAAAAAATCGATTTTAAGATTCTTGCAACTTTCTTAAGAACCTTGCAACTTCGAAAATTAGACATTTCAATCAGTATGTCTGGATTGTTTGATACTACCCATGGGAAAATTTTATCGACTTTTCACGCGTTAGGGATCATGAAATGTCAGCTTAGACTTTCACGAAATTTTGTAGGTAAAGAGAGTTAATTTTACGACGTTGGGGTCATGCAATTGCAACATCAGTACGTTTGGCTACGCGTGAAAAATCTTCACATGTGTTTTTTAAAAAAGGTTTTTACGATTTTTGAAAATCTTAGAAATTTTTTTGGAAATATTAAGTGAAATTTCACTGAATACTTCCTCCCACTAAGAGATGACGTTTAACCATAATTTAAAAACGGATAAATAGTGTAGCCGGAAAAGAATAAGAATATGAAAAGTATAGACTGCAAGGAAAATCATTATATTTATTGAATCCAGAAAATAGAATCAGCATAAATTAAAATTAGAATACAAAAATCTTTCCTAAATTCCAGCAAGCTTTCGACTTGTATAGAGAGAGGCACTGAGGCTTACAACGCTTACACTAACCAATTACGGATAAGGCATATATGTTGGATTAGTTTACAAACTAATCCAAACACTGTCACTCGCGGTTAAAAGTGTATATTGTTCACAAAATGGATTGTGTGAAAAGCTGACACGTGAATAAACGTGATGATATTTTTCATAATGAAATTAGCGTGAAACATTTTCACGTGTGTTCGCAAGTGATATTTTTCTACAGAAATTTTGTGTAATAAAGAGAAATACACATGTAGCTACTATACACTTTACGACTTTCATCTGTGATTGCGTGCGAAAAATATGACGCGAAAGTTCTCGCAAACAGTTCACACATTGTCACAAGTGGAATATATTTTCATGCGTGCCCACACACCATTTTACGATGTTCACGTGCGACCGACCACAGTTTATAGTCCACGTGTACACGCCGTTTTATATACTAAAATTTCCCTATTGGGAATTTCTACAGAATGTTATAAATGAAGGAAAGCTACCTCTGAGCTCATTCTAATATCGAGATTTGCGTACGTACTGCAAATTCCTAATGTCTAAGAAAAACAAAGATAGAACTTTAAGATATCTAGATTTTCCAGTAATTCATGTTATTCTTGTGTACCATAATTGGCTAAGATCATTTGTAGTTTATGAATTGCTCCCTCAGAGACTGCACTCATCAGCTGCTATCCGAAAAGTTTTGTTACTGCATTATTTACCTGTCTTATGATGAACTGTAAAACTGTACGAGTTAACTTATCATTATAACTTTTTTCAGTAGAAAAAATGATTGTTGTATGCCCTTCTCCCTCTATATCCTGACATTTCTAAATTTTCTTTTGGCGCACGCAACGTTTTCGGAAAGAAAGAATTACTTGTTTTTCTTCAATTATAAATCGTCAATAATTAATTGTCTCAAACAGAATCTGCAGTTTATCATCCAAAATTAGACGTCAGTTTAAACAACCTG